AAAAAAGCGAGCATATAGAAATTAAACTTTCATCTTTGTTAGCTCCTCTTCTGCTGGCACATTTCATGTTCTTGCTAATTACTACCATTAACCTGTAATATAACTACAGGGTTGATATCTTCATGTTCAGTTCTGACTCTGAATGTATGTTAAGGCTTAAGGAAGTTCTAAATATTGATATTCAGTAGGAGACATTTACCTGGAAAATGTCTTTTCCATTAGATGTTTAGTTCCTGTTCTGTGGAATGAACATGAACTCTGAAAGCATGTATATCCCAGTATCCCATTGACTTAACCTATGTTGTCCCTGGTATTAATCTGTAGATTTTCATAGAGCTTTAATATCATGATGTTCTTGTACGCAGTGTTAATATACGTCATTTTTTAAGCACAGTATTCACTCGTGCTGCAATTTATTTCATACAACAGGTTGGTGTGGTCTCAGATTATGATCTGTTAGCACTGGACTCGATATCAGGTATTGTTTGGAATTGCTGTGTAAGTTTCACCTTGTTTATACAATATTTTGTCCATATTATCAGCTGTCTTGCATTGATTAACGTTTCAATTTCTTTTCCTTTAGGAAATGGACAAGCTGAGGCTGACATATTTCCTGAGGTGGACAGCACTTGGAAAGTACATTTTGAAAGGCTTGGACGGATAATAGACTTAATTGTGTCGCATGGTTATGCATCTACCTTTAGGACCACCCCCTCCCTCACATGCACACGCACGCACACACGCGCATACGCATACAAACAAGTTGTAGAGGTAGTTTGTCACTGGATGTGGGATGACATGTAGGATTGGAGAGCTCAAATAAAAATTACTTGCTATTGCCAGCTGCGAGATACAAAGGTGTAGAACAATTTATTTACTTTTGTGAAAGGGAATGATAGGCTTGGGCTCAGTGAAATCAGACTGGCGGTGGTGGAAACGGATTTGCGCTTGATAGCCACCTTGGTTTGGCAGCCATATGAACTTGGGCTTGATGCAGACTATGCCCTTACAATCACAACAGGAATGGGCTAGACCTTCTCCCAAGCCCTCCTACCACTGCCAGGGCTTGCACAACATCTCCTGATACGGGGCAAGACCGACCGCAAGGGTGGCCCGTTCACGAATCGGAGGTGGATTTGAGAAGTAACATAAGAACAAGGCACAAATTCGGAGGAAACACAAGAGAATAACGCTATTGGACAAGGTCCACACCAAGTACTCCTCAAACCTCCGGCCAACACAAGAGGTGCATCTTGGATTCAAGAACCGGTGAAAATAACAAGTAACAAGGGTAGTTCTCCAATCTCTATTTAATAAGGAGGTCTTGAGAGATATTCTTCTTCAAATCTGATAGAGGCGAGGGTGTCCCGATCTTTCGATGAGATGATAACTATCGATTTGGTGGAGATGACTCGACTACAAACGTGCACGACGTTGCGCCTTAGCAATCGCTAAACCAATCTTCTGAGGTTACTGACGATG